TAAAACAATCAATATTCCGAAAGTATATTTTGGACACAGAAGACTATCATATTTACACATATGGCTCTGGTCCAACGAAAACTCATTATTTTTACCTACTGTAACATCCTTTCTATGATAGGGGAACTGCAAACAATATCCTTAGAACATTCACTTACAATAATGGGTTAAAAACACCTAAATACAACAGGTAAAACTTAAGAGCTTGACATTTGTCAGCTTTTGTCATAAAAAAGTTATTCTTGGATCTAAGATTATTTTATGAAAATATTGCATGACATTCTTAATAGTTAAGTTATCAAAAATGATTCTGTTAACAATAAGTCTTAAATGCTTAAATGCAACTTAAATTTGTATTCGTTGCTTTTCGTGACAATTAGWTTAATTTTGCAAAGTATGTTACATAATTTCACAATGAAAACACGAAGTTATACTTTCAAAAGAATGAAAAGCGTAAGCCAAAAATATTTAATCTGAMTTGCAAAAGCTGGAAAACATTTCTTTAAAGCTAAATGTACCGGATATACGTCGATTAAGCTTGATATTATAAAATGATGCAATAAACTTTCGAAACAAGAATTCAACGCTTGAGTAACTCATAACTAACGAACATTAGGACTAACATCTTTCAAAGTGTGGCTTAGGCTTAACTTTGTACAAATTAAATCAAATGCACAACTATTTCCAAGTGAAAACCTTGGCAACACAACACCTGACCACTTAAAATGATGAAATGTTTACTAGGGAATCGTACCACGTTGTCTTGTGCGGCCGTATTGGTCTGTTCATCAACTGCCTTCGACGATGGTTTCCCAACAACCTCTTGTTGAGGGTCTTCCACATAGCATAGACTAGAAATAAGTCGTAAAATGATTAAAGCAAAGTAGTGTTAAGCATCACTAACTGAACTCCAAGGTATCTGACACAAGAAGTTTGAATGAAGGCAAAACGACGTAAGCTTACCTCAAAACGCCAAGAAAAATACTTAGAACCAAACAAAACCGACTAAAAATAAACATAACAGCTGAAGATTAAATAGATTATATCGGAGAATCCTTAAAGTAACTTAAAGAGGTCAAACGACCAAGAAAAGCTAGTAGTTTGTTTCTTTTCTGAGTCATGCTTCGCCAGATAGCCTCCATCTTGATGACGTGTTTTGCTGTCTGACCGGGCAGACTGGTTTTCGTTACAAAAACAAACATAATTAGGGAGGGGAGGGTAAAACATCATAACAAAATACAAAAGGGTTAGCATAAAATAGTACAAAATAGTAGTAATAATATTTTATAGTTGATGTTGAATTTGCTCGGATAAAATCCACTTCAATGCCGGTCACTGCAGACATCATGAGTCGTCGAACTAAGGAGCCAGAAAGCTCTAAAAGTGAAAAAGAATAAATAAGCATGAAAGCAATAAGTGCTTACGCGAAAAAAACATATAACATTGAAACCTCACGGACACATTAATAGTATAGGAAATACCAGTGAGATTTACTCACGTTCATCAAATACAAACGGTATTTTTATTTTTATTAATATTTCTTTTTTTATTAACATACCTTTATRAAATATCGCATCTTGGGGCAGTCACGATAGCGAAAAAATATCGCACACAGATCATTCGCAAAGACTTCTGGGATAGATTCGTGCAATTCATTAAACTAGTGCAAAACAATGACCCAATCTCGTACCCAGCGCCACTGAGTCCCTCTACTCGCAGGCTCGACGAAAAACAAGTAACGCGGGCTCTGGGTACGAGATTGGATTTTCCCGGAAGTGCAACCGCGCCGTAATGCTGACAAAATTGGCGGGAATCTGCGAGAAACTTTCTGTCCTTTGGTTTTAATTTGCTCTGCTATGGATTTTTTTCTTCGAATCAAAGATTATAGAAGATACATGTTTGCCGGTCAAAATGCCGCTGTTTCAATAAGTTTTTTTTTTTCTTACCAACATGATGCAAACACACATTGAAGCACATAAAATACAACTAAAAGATAAATATCGAAACTAAATACAAAGCATTTTGTGCATACAAATTCTTTATAAATTGCGAATTGATTTTTTCTTTACACTGTTATCTCAAGACAATTACAGTACGGCTATCGAAACCGGGGCCACCTAGAGAATATAAAATCACATAATTAAGATAGAATACAAATGATTCAAACTAAGGAAACTTCATCTAATTAATCTTTAGTTCTTTGTAATATCACTGATCATTGTTTTTAAGCTTTTTAAGCCTTGTTTCAATCGAAATTGTGATTATTTTACATTCTAAGCTGGCCCCGGTTTCAGTAGCCGCACTGTAAGTTTGGAAATCAAAATTGTCAATTTGTTTTTGGTAAATAGATAGTTTTTTTTTACAGTAAACTGAAAGTGTATAGACATGACCGTCTTCCTGCGTTTTTGCTGTCGAACTGAACGCTTCAAAATCCAACAAAAAAATTATTTGTTCACTGATTCGAGTCCTTGGCGGAGAAAATCAAAATTGAAACGAAACTCGAAGCACGACGTGACTGGTCAAAAATCCCAGGATCGTATTTGTACTAATTTTTGCAAGTAAAAAAAGACGCAGAATTATTAGCAATTTTTCGTTCCCAGGCCCTTATCGCAAGCGAAGTGATAAGGGCCTGGGAACGAGTTTGATCAATAACGCAGTCAAGTCATGGTCTTGAAATACAATATGGGATCAGAGATTTTAACATTATTTTGCGAGAGATGAGAGATAGCACGTTCATCGAAAACCAAATAAATCAGGGAGAGTCATTGATCGTTTTCAACTCTCTCCATGAGATTCAGAAGATAAAAGAAAGCTGCCCAGACGATGTGCGAACTACGACCGCAATGCATCATGTTAAAACCGGAAATTCACGCTCACTTTGCTTCAAACCAAGGAAGTGTCAGCATCTCTGAAGCGTAGCGAAAGGTAAACAAACGGACGATACCATTATGCTGATCAAGTGTTGATATCCCGCGACGACAGTTTTGAACAAAAAAAGGTGTAAACATCAAAGGAAAGATCATAGCTTTCGATGCCTCGGGATGGCTCCATGAAGACTTGTATAGATCAATAAAAAGAACGAGGGAATCGGGATAGGTCAGGTTTAATATTACTAAAGATTTTCGCGCGTAATTCATAGTTCCGACAAATCAAGCGCGAGCGTGAATTATCCAATCAGAAGAAAGCCACAAATGCTTTCGCGTTTTTGTAAATTACAGTCTTCCGACGATTTGTCGATAAAATTTCCGATAAAATTTCCCTTTGTTTTGTTAAAAACATTTAAAAATCAATCTGAGAAAGACCTAGAGAAAGCATTTAATTATTTTTAATGAGTTTTACTTTTAGCACTTCGTGCTTTTTTCCGCACATTTTGATCCAATTCAAGCATTTTTCAAGATTATAGTTTTTGACTTGGGAATCAAAATAAATCGTCCTCCATTTCACCTGGCTGACCAGCGCTCATTTGATTTACAAGTGCCCCAGAAAGTCTCAAAACCATCTCAACTTCGCCCTCCGATCCGACTTTGTTTACATTTTTTGTGGGATAGGGCTGCCATTACGTGTCCTCTATTGTGATTGGCCAATACAGCGCACGCGAATGACGCATAACTATGAATTCGGTAAACTACTGATGGTACAGGGGCGGATCCAGGTTTTTTTTTAGGGGGGTGACTTATGATTTTTTAAGGGTTAATATATTTAATTTTCCCGCCAAACGTACCAAAGCTCCGCGAATGCATGTGTGTTCTTAGATGCCCGAAACGCTAAAAAGTGTTAGTCCTTTTTAAAAGTGTTGTTTATCGAAATATCAACCAATTATTTCCCTATTTCCTTGATATGAATATTTCTATATTCAATTTATCCAGGAAAAAGGG